GTGGTTCATGAATTTGATTCCCACATTGGGCTCTCTACTGTCAGTGCAGAGCCCACTTCGGATCTTCTGTCTCTCTCTGTCTCTTCCCCACTCACGCCGTCTCTAGTTCAAAAATAAACATTAAAAAAAAACACACATGCACACACACACATATGTGTGTGTATATACATATATATACACACAAGTTCAGTTTTTTATATATCAATATTTAGCTCATTTTGACTTTTTTTAAGTTTATTTATTTTGAGAGAGAGAGAGCATGAATGGGGTAAGGACAGAGAGAGAGGGAGAGAGAGAATCCCAAGCAGGCTTCACACTGTCAGCACAGAGTCTGATATGGGGCTCAAACTCACAAACTGTGAGATCATAACCTGAGCCAAAATCAAAAGTTGAATGCTTACCCTACTGAGCCACCAGGCTCCCCTCATTTTGACTTTGTTTTTGTGTAAATTGTGAGGTATGGATCCAATTTATTTTTCCCCAGATGGCTACCCAGTTGTCCCCAGTTCATTTACTAAATAAATTCCCCTTTCCTGTTAATGTAAACTGTCCCTTTTATTATGTATATTCTGTTGACAATCATGAACTTTTCCTATATTATTTAAAGAAAGTATAAATTGGATTATAAAACAAATGGGTTATCTTGAAATTATTTACTTGTCATTTTTACATTATAGGAAAAAATACAAAGAGAAAAATACAAGGATAATGTTTCATCTATGAACATAAATATTCAAAATACATTGAAACACCTCCATGGAGATAGTATTGGCAGAGGCCCTGAAGCAGAAGATAAGGATAAAAGCCAGTCTAGAAAGCTTCCGAGTTGTAAATCCCATGGAATTCTAACTACAGCGTGTACAAATGATCACCAAATGAAGACCCTGTTAAAGAGTACAAATCCAGTTGATGCTTGTTATAGGGAGAGTGGACAAAATAAAACTTTATATAAAGCCGATTCAAGCTATAGTCAAAACTTACATGAAAGAACAAATTTTGAAAAAAAGAATTCTGTTTCTCAATCAAGGTATAGTTTAATAATTGTTTCTAACTTTATTTATTCAAGTATTTTTTTTTGTAGTACTATGTTATTAAGCCCTGGGATATAGAAATGATAAAAAATGGTCTTGGGAGGAGCCTAAATGGAAATGTTGGGAATGGAGTTTGGATGGGGAGGTATGGGCCAGTTCATCTAGGGCCTTGCATGTCACAGTCAGGATTTTTGGTTTTCACTCATAGGGCGTAGGGAGCCATTGACAATTTTAAATTGTGTGACATCAGATTTGCGTTTTAGAAAGGATACTCAGAGAACTTAACCTGAAACCCTATACCTGAAGTAACAACACATGCATTAATAATCCATCAGCAATGTAGCAAAAACCAGTTTGTAAATTTAATTTGATAAAAAGGAGTAGTGTGTGATGAAAATATGGCTCAGGATTACCTTTTCATTTGTTCCTTTCACCTCACCTCCAGTTCATGACCTTGCTCCCTCAGATAGCCTGTGGGGCTGGACCTGAGATGTAGCTTTTCTTAAAAATTTACTTGTGTTCTCTCCTCTGATGGATACTGTGCTAGTAGGGAAACTGAAGAGTATTGCTGCTATATTCTGGGAAGGTTGCAATGTAAACGGAATATTAGGGAGATGGATTACATCATCACCACTCCTTTTTTTCCTTTATAAAACCATTCTTGATGTTAATTTTAACCTGATTTCTCAGGGATGTGGAATTGGAAAGCATTGAAATATGCCCTTGGGCCAGCTCTCTTGCTTTCTGTCCCATTGCTTTTGTTCCCTCCTTTTTTTTTTTTTTTTTTTTTTTTTTTTTTTTTAATTTTTTTTTTCAACGTTTATTTATTTTTGGGACAGAGAGAGACAGAGCATGAACGGGGGAGGGGCAGAGAGAGAGGGAGACACAGAATCGGAAACAGGCTCCAGGCTCCGAGCCATCAGCCCAGAGCCTGACGCGGGGCTCGAACTCACGGACCGCGAGATCGTGACCTGGCTGAAGTCGGATGCTTAACCGACTGCGCCACCCAGGCGCCCCTATAAAACCATTCTTGATGTTAATTTTAACCTGATTTCTCAGGGATGTGGAATTGGAAAGCATTGAAATATGCCCTTGGGCCAGCTCTCTTGCTTTCTGTCCCATTGCTTTTGTTCCCTCCTTTTTTTTTTTTTTTTTTTACATTTGTTTGCTTGTTTATTTAAGTAATCTCTCCACCCAACATGGGGCTCGAACCCGTGACCCCAAGATCAAGAGTCGCATGTTCTTCCAACTGAGCCAGACAGGCACCCTATGTTTTTCTCTTTTATAACTTTTTCCCTGTGTTTCTGTTGGCATCAGTATTATTGCCTTTTGGAATCTTATTTAACTCCACTTTTAGAAAGGAGGCTATAACCATTACAAACGCTACTTTGGCAGAATTTGATAGACTTTGGTAGATCCTGGTTCCATCTCCTGCCTGCCAAACACCCAGAATCACACCACTGCTTACAGAAACATTTGTGCAGACACTGAGCAGTATGTTTACTTTTAATTTCTGGTGTCTGTTTTCTTTTAGTGACCATGTTTTTAAACCTCCAATGCCTGTTGTCAAAAATAGAAAGCAGGAGTTACCAGTAACAGGTATGATTAAAAATATTTCTTCTTTGATTTTTTAAGAAAACATATTTAGGTGACTAATACAGCTAAAAATGTAATTGGTATATTTGCCCTCTAACATATAAGCCACACTTTTGACTCCTTTCTGGTGTAAATACTTTAATCACCTGTTATTGACATCCAGAACCTTTCTGTTTATCCAACAAGATGACTGAATATGTAGTACTGTACTAAAGTTTATGAAAATCTTGAGAATTAATATATCATGTAAATGTCAGGTCCTTTTCATTAATCAAAAGAATCTTAAATATTGCAATTTTTTTCCAGATCCATTTACATTATGTTCAGATATAATAAATAAAGAAGTCATCACTTTTCTAGCAACTGACAGTCATTCTAAAATGTTAAAGTATAGATGCTCAGGTAAATATTTTTTATACAGTTATTTTGTAATTAAAACTTTATATGATATTAGTTAACTAGACTTTATAATAATTCTGCCTGTGTGATTTAAACTTCATTGCCTTTAGGATCACCTGGGTGGCTCAGTTGGTTAAGCATCTGACTTCAGCTCAGGTCATGATCTCGTGGTTCATGAGTTTGAGCCCCACATCAGGCTCTCTGCTGTCAGTGTGGAGCCTGCTTCAGATCCTGTCTCCTTTCTGTTGCCTGCACACACACACACTCTCACTTTCTCTCTTAAAAATAAATAAACATTGGGGCGCCTGGGTGGC